GCCCTGGTCTATCAGGAGAACCTGCTGCAGGGAGTCCGGTTGGCACACAGCATTGTGTTTCTTCACCCTCCATCCATTGCAGTGTTGGCACAGGCCACGCCCTCCCTGGGCTGCTTCCACCCAACGCTTGAGCATGGGCCATGCGCTGCGGATTTCTCTCATCGGCTCTCTCAGGTCTGCCTGCAATCTGAAGCGCTTCCTACCTTCCCAATCTTCTTTCCTTCCCTCTCTCCTTTTGCAACCATCTGGCTTACGTCTCTCGCTGCCTCCTCTTGCCCCCTCTTACATTTCTCCCATCAAAGCTTTTGCTCATCATCTTACACTTTGGTGCCTGCTTCTTGGAGGACCTGAACTAACACAGGAGTCATCTGCATACAGACGGTGTTCATTAAAAGGATGCGAGTAAACTGGATATCACTGAGAGGAAAAACTATTGAAATGTTGGAATTAGTAACAAGAATTGAGAAAAACTTGCTCTTAGTAATGAGGGGCTCCTGGGGCTAGCCTGTCTTAGCTTGAAAGAGGTCCCTCTGAGCTAAATGCCTCTGTTGGCTAAACCTCACTTTTCTTGAAGTCGTGGTAGCGGGGATAATGGTACTGAGGAATATTTGTTGTATAGATTAAAGTGAGATAATAGTAAATGTAAAGTGCTTGGGAAACCACCTGCATTTATCAACTTAGTAGTAAAAGTGGGTCACCATCCTCAGGTGCAATGAATAAGGAACCCTTAGAGTAGTCAGAAAGGAAGAAAGAGGAGGACCCAAAGAGCAGTCCTCCAGAGCCAAGGAGGCAGAAGTTTCAAAAAGGGCAATTGTCTCAAAAGTCAGAAAGAACTAAGAAGAATAGGGGAAATGTCCAACAGACTTGGAAATGAATAATGACTTTGGCAAGAGCTATCCCAGGGGCTTGAGGAAGAGGGAACCAGAGAACAGTGTGGCTTGAGGATGAATGGTATGTGAGAGAGGAGAGGGAGGCTGCAATGCCCACACCTTCCAGAAGCTTGGCTTTGAAATAAAAGGGAGAGGTATAATAATGGTCAAATGGGAGGCCCAAGCCCAGGAGGAAAGTCCAGCTTTATTGTACATAAGAGGTAAAGTACTCCAAGATGGGAGGAGAATGGAGTTCTGGGTGACAGAAGGTCTTTAGGAATCAGGAAGGAATGGGCTTTTGAGCACAGAAGGTAGAGTTAATCCGGCCTGTGGAAGCATGGATAATGTTCTGAGATCAAATAGGTAAGAAAGAGGACAAGCAGAGGTCAGAAGACAGAAATGTGAAGTCATGCCCAAGTGGTGATTCCTATTTTTCTTTCCAAAAAAGTCACTAAGGTTGCACCTGTTGAAGACGGCAGAAGTGGAGAAGGCAACTTGAAGAAAAGTGGAAAAAAAAACTACATTTCACTGATACATTTGCCTCTTCTCCCCTAACCATGTTTATCAAGGTCCTCGCCTATGTGGGTACTGGACTGAGAACTTTCAGACAGCTGCTATCCATCTATCTTCAATGTTCATCACCGCATGTGAGGTGGGCATCATGATGCCCATTTTACCAATAAGGAGAACTGAGGCCTAAATCATTGATCTAAGATGTACAGGGTCTAGCAGAGTGCTCAACAGACAACTGTCAAATGAATGGCCCGTGTAGACCACACTCTTTAGCAGGCTTCATCCTTATGGGATGCTTCTTCCAAGAGTCTTTTTGCTTTTGAGTGTATTTGTATGTAGTTGCATCTTGGGTCAGTCATAACCTCCAAAATGTCACAGTAATGAAAAACACAAAAAGTGGCTGCACAAGGAAATGCCAGGGCTACTTTATTTACCCCAAACAGAAAAGCTACTTACAAGATCATGACTGATTGGGAAATGAGATTTAGTTGGACAAAAGCACTTGAAGCTCTAGCATCTCCAGCAAAGACCTCCCAGAGCGTCGGAATTGATGTGTGGATTGTTTTGGTTTTGTTGTTAATAATATCTGGATGAAAATGCCTGCCAAAACATTTCACTGAAGGATTTAGGCTATACTTTCCAAGTCTAGAAACTTCAGGGCAGCAGCTGATGTCAATGTGTGCATCTTGGCATCCACCAGTTCATCTGGCAGAATGAAAAATAACCAATTGTGTCCTCAAGAACACTGTGTATTCTTAATACTTCTAAGTCTAAATCTGATTTGTGTTCTTCTTGTAATTATACCAGTCAAAAAGAGAATGGTACAAATAATGAAAGTTAAGGGAATAAATGAAAAGGGCCATAGATTCCAAGTTTCTTGCAGGCAGGGATTGAGTCTAACTTAAGTTCCTGGCATTCATTTTTAAGAGGACTGGCCCGGTGTTTGGCACACAACATCTACTAAATAAATTCTTGCTGAATTAAATTGAACTGCATCAACATGGCAGGCAGTGAAGTGGTCAGAGATTTAAACTATTTAAATCTGCCTCATTTTTCTTCTAGAGCAGAGCACAGAACTGTCACACAGGGATGCTGTGTGCATGAATGCTCTAATTCATTAATGAGGTTCACAATGAATTATTAATCCCTGAGAATAATCCATAGACAGGGTTGTCTGTCGCCACAAGGAGAGGAGAAAGAGTAACTAATCTTCCTAAGTTGTATTCCTTTTTCTCTCTTCGAGTCTTTGTTTCTAGAGCTCTTTGGAGCTGTGGTTCTCATTCTCATTCTATTCCTGACTTACTGTTTGACCTCAAAATGAGTCACTTAATCTCAGTTAATACTTAAGTTTCCCCTTCAGTGAGAGCCAAGGGGCCTGGCTATAGAGTTAGCAAATATCAAGCCTCAAAAATTGGATGTGTTATTTGGTGCCATCCATCATCGCTGTAAGGCCAACGGAAATGAATCCCAAAGACAAAGCCCCGTGCAGACCCCCTCAACTCCTTTCGACAGCCTGTGGGGACTGCTCAGTCACTATGGAGTGCAGTCAGGGGGAAAAGAAAAGGAAGCTGGGGGAGGTTGCCACAAACGCAGAGAGGGAAAGGCCCTGGAGGCCAGCGATGAGATCGCTGAGCAATCTGGCCAGAATGACTGTGATTTGCTCACCAACATGCCACCCCCCAGGAAGCTAACCACTGCTTTCAAAAGCAGTGCCTGCTAGGCTTCCATAGTTGAAGTTAAGTGAAATGAGACGCAAGTGTGGAGAATAAATCAATTAGAAAATAATGTTCACATTTTTGTAGGATTTACCCCTGGCTTTCTTTTAAGCAGAAAGCATCCTCCAGAGCCTTTCAATAAGATAAAGATTAGATTTACATACTGTATGTCACTAGATCGGAAAGTAAGAGGATGGCACAGCTTGTCTCAGAGAATGGTAGCAGGCGGAGGAGGAAGCAGAGGCTGGGACTTCCTTAGCCCGGCTCCAAGTACCCTCCTGATGCACGAACCTGTATTTTCCAGAGAGGAAAAAGATCCACAGAGGTGAAAGCCCGCATCCCTATACGAAAGATCTAAAAGGGCTCTGGGTAGATGACTCACCTCTGCCACCACGGAGTTCTGGAACATTACATGAAGGGCGTGATCATTTGTGGTGGCTGTGGTCACAGTTCGCCGAGGGGCACAGGCCCCCTGGAAACCTTGCTGTATTGAGCGACTGTCTCTTCAACAGGCCCCGCTGAAGGAGCGTGGTCAGACCTTAAATTTGGCTTCATGGTCTTCTACTCAGTTGCAAACCCATACGCTGGCCTCTGCAGGCACCAGGAGAGTGTCTTTGAATCCCCACCCACCTTGCTACCCAGATCACAGCACCATCTGTGCTCCTCCTGGGTAGTAGCAATAATGGATGTACACTTCAATCGCATCTGAAAACCTCTAACGCGCCACTTGCAAGACTGTGAAGCTTATCTATAGCATTCAGAAGTGACTGATGAGACGGGTCCTCAGCACAGCCCAGTGCTCCAGGAATCCCCATGGTAATGGTAATTTATAAATTTGTTTTCTTGTGACAGTATTTATAAGCTCCATGAACCATGGTATAACTCAATAAATATTCAAAATGATAAAACGTGAAAATTGGAAGTGATGATTTGCTTATGATAAGAAGAGTAATGGTGATTTTTTTTCAGTGTTTAAAGGGAAAAAAATGGAACCACTAAAGAGTCCATCTGAAAGCAATATACTCTCTAAAGAACAATCTAGTCCAATCAGTAACAAAATCTTTCAGTTGAACTGTACCCTGACAACAGCACAGATCCTATAAGTTAGTCATTAGATTGAGATTTTTTTTTAGACCATTCATTTGAGAATGTTGCAAAGGAGGTCTTGAATCAGGTACAGGTGCAATAAAGAGCTCTTCCAAATTACTGTTGGGGAGAATTAAGGTCAGTCCAATCAAATTCTTTTTAGTTTTCTCCTCACATTGTAGTTGTCTAAGGGAGAGTCACAGTTATCTTCTGTCATACCAAAGTCATAGGATAAAGGACCAGGGTTTCTGAAATGGATAATAATCTTTGGAGCTAAAATGATTGAATACTATACTGAGGATTGAACTCAAGGGCACTTTATCCCTGACCTACACAACCACCGCTTTTTATTTTTTGACTTGAGACAGGGTCTTGATAAGTTGCTGAGGCTGGCCTTGAACTTGGATCCTCCTGCCTCAGCCTCCAGGGTTGTTGGGATTGCAGGCAAGTACCCCTGCCCCTGGCTATGTTTAATTTTTCAGTGTTCTCTGTAGTGGAGAAAATTGTCTGGCATGCGCCCATTCACTTTGGCAAAAGCACCTGGATTTTCTTCCAGGGAGCCACCCTCCCCTTGCCTGGAGGATGGAGATACATATGTGTGGGATGACTTGTCCTGGTCAATCATCTTAGCATCCCTCTAACCCCAGGATTAGTTCAAGGACAAGCCTGAAATTAATAACAATGGGCGGGGGTAATCAAGGACATTCGTTGGAACTACAGGACAGGATATACAGAACAGGAAGGATTTCTAGCCCATAGAATGTAAGCTGTTTACCTTTTTTTTTTTTTTTTTTGGTATGTAAATGGGTAGCCTACCTTTATTTTATTTATTTATTTTTATGTAGTACTGAGGATTGAACCCAGTGCCTCACACGCTTGCTAGGCAAGTGCTCCACCACTGAGTTACAGCCCCAGCCCCGGTTTACCATCTTGATACCACAAGGCAATGAGCCTAACTTAGAAGAAAGCAGAGCTACCCCAAAGAAAGAAAACCATGATATAATCTGAGCACTGGAATAAATTCCCCTTTTTGTGGAAGTCTGTTTGAGTTTGTTTTCAGCTACTTGGAATTGAAAGTGTTCTAACTAATGCATAAAATTCTTGGTATTTATTCTTCTCAATTATTTGCAGTTCAATAGTCCTCAGACTGAAAGAAAAGTAAGAAGAAGTAAAACAAATATCTGTGGATTCCTCACCTAAATTCACCAGTTGTTCACAATAGCACATTAGCTTATGTCTGTCCTTCAGCACCAACAATACTATCTCACTGAGGAATGAAATCAATTCAATACTGTCTAATAGGAAGCTCGTATTTAAATTTTTCTCAACTATCTTCAAACTGTCTTTTTTATTTCATTTCATTTTATTCACTCTGGAGTTGTCAATCAAGTTTCATGTGTTGCATTTGGTTTTTGTCTCTTTTAATGTGGATGGATAGCCTTGATTTTTGTTGTTTTTTCTTTAATGACACCGACTTCCATTTTACTTTTGAGAACTCAGGCCAGTTGACACATAGAATGTACCACATCCTGGATTTGTCTCTTAACTCAGGATTAGACTCATATTTTTAGCACAAATTCTTCCCAGGTAGCATGTTATATACACTTCTGTACTTTGCTTTTTTTTTTTTCTCTTAACACAACACTGGAACTAACTTTATTCAACCACTAATAATCTTCCCAAGTCATTTTAATGCTTGCATAGCATTCCATCATATGGACTAATTTAATTATTAAAGTTAATAATAATTATTAGTAATAATTATTATGCAGTTAGTGTAATTATCAAATTAATTAAATAAAATTTAAAATCATTTATACTTATTACATAATACTAAATTATGTTCCATAACTTATTCAGCTGGCTTCTTAAGGATAGACATTAAGGTTATTTCCTAATTTTTTCTATGACAAAGTTGTCTAAGAGAAAAATCACATATAGATATTATTTCCTACGTTTGGAGGTCACATTCAGGATAGATTCTTTATGTTAAAGTGGCAGTGCTGGGTGGAGAGGTAAATGCATATGTAGTTCTGTTAGGTCTCACAAGGCTCCCTTCCATAGGAGTTTGGGAAAATGTTTGACATGATATTCTACCTTGTCTTGTAGAAATGTTACTCTTGTTTTCCATTCCATACACATTTCTTAATATCCGTAGGCAGAGTCTGTTGGGCATCTATCTTTTTTGGCTTCACGGCATATAATAGTGTGCTGTTGTTCTTAGAAGATGCTCCCTAGGTGCTGAAGGAGTGAGTCAAAGAATGAATCAGTGAACGAATTATTTTTCCCCATGATATCAACATTCTCACTCACTTCACAGGAAACTGAGACCCAAGAACAGTCAGAACTGTGTTTCAAGGCCACTCCACAAGAAGAATCCTAGAGAATGGAGTGGACTGATAAATATGCAGACAAGAAAAGGTGGGATGCTAACCTTGAATTTTTGAAATAGCAACCAAAGTACATTTGATTAGCGTCTACAATCTGCCAGGCAAGACAAACACAAAAACATAAACATGATGCTGTTCCAGCTTACAATCTAATTGGGTCTGTAGGGATACCATACATATGCTCACACACTCAATAATAGGAAAGGGCAATATGTGATAAATACCAAATGGACAGTGAAGACATTTTAATGCCAAAGGAGTTACCAGGAGGAGAAACCACTGCCGCTTGGGGTGGTAGAGGATTCCATTGCACTCTTGAGATCTGATTTGGATGAGGTAGGATTCAAATCAGAAGATGGCCTGAGGAACAAACAGGGGACTTATGGTGTGGTGGAGGAACAGTAAATTCTGGCTAGAGCAGGGAGGTCATGGAGGAGAACTGTGAGTACTGGGACTTAAAATTTGAGGCCAAATCTTGGAGAAGTCAAGAATGCCTTGCAAAGAAATATGGTAAATCATGGTAGTGATGTTTTATTGTGCACTAAAGTTTGCTTTTTCATGAAATTCATTTCTGCTTCTTTGGAATAGTCCTCCTCCACCTCATATAGCCCTGACAAGTCTGTGAAAATGGGGTCAGTCACCCTCCTCATATCCAATGGGTGGAGCATAACCAATGAGACTTATCAGATAGAGATGGACGGACACCCAACCCCAACAGCAGCACTAAGAACAGCAGCACCATGGGATCTGTAGCTGGAGACAGAGAAAGAAGGCCTTTCCTTGCTGGCATTGCTGAACTTGGAGGTTGTGGCATGGAACAGTCAGTAGTGGCATTGCCCACATTGTGGTGGGACCCCACATGAAGACTGAGGTCCAGATAAGCCAGACAGTGTGGGATGCTAGAAGGACAGACCTATGCCTAAATCACTGGTCCCCTCCTGGACTTGCCTCTTATATGCCAACAAATAATTTTTTTTTTCTGTTTTAGCTCCTTTGAGATGAGTTGCTGACACTTTCATCTGAAGGAAGAAGCTTGACTGATTGGAGAGGTTTAGACTTCAACCCACAGATCAAAGCTTCCCAAAGTGGTTTCCTTTGATCACTCGTCCTAGAGATCATTCAAAAAAGAAGTTTCATAATAAAACTAGTTTGGGAAGACTGCCTTCCAGAACCTCCTTTATAGTTGCATTAACACATTAACACATTTAACACTCTAAAAAGTCCTCCTGTGAAGTAACTTTATACTGAAACCTGCCATATGTTCCCTCCATATCCACGGTGCATTGCACCTACCCTGCTCTGTGCCCTGGGAGGCTGATTTTCACTGTCAGTAGACCCTCTTGCCTTTGGCCTCAGCTGGGTATGGACATCAACAGGAAGCAACAGGAGACCAGGGAGAGGGAGAAGAATGTGGTGGGCATATTTGTATCCTGGTTCTGCCTTGTGCAGTCATCATGTCTCTCAGTTCAAGGGCACAGTACAGGTCCTACTGGGCATCCCTCTCCAGATACAATAGGCTTTCTCTCCCTGGTCCTTCAGGTAGTTGATGACTTTCTGCTGGTACCAGCTGTGGACCACTGTACTCTCCTTAATGGTTTTCTCAACCCTCCAATTCATTTCCTAATCTATTCTAAACTACTCAGTTTGAGCTTGCTGTTTTCTTCCAGGACCTGACTGAAATCGTCTTGCTAATCCCTTATTTCCTAAACTTATTAAACCTACAATTTAAAAAGGAGAGAGGAACACCTATCAATGTGCCACAGAACATAAGCTTTTGACCACATTCTTTGGTAAAGGCCTTGATAGGGCAGTGATTCAGGCACTGGATTCTAGAAAGGTGAAGGTGGCCAGACCTCTCTTCCCTTCTTTTCCTAGAGCATTCTGCTCGACACCTGATGCTTCAACCCAACTGGCATGTTTGGTGCCTCTCAGGCCGCAGGGTTCACCACCTGTGCACAGTACCTTCTCACCCTAGGGACCTCTCTTCCTGCTCTTCTACCCAAAGTCACTGTTTTTTAAAAAGCCTAGTGCATGTCACCATTTACCCTTGAACATTCCCCAAAGCTCTGGAGCTCACCCTGGTCCCTAGCATTCACGGCACAGTCTACTGCAGTTGACCCACATCCATGTGACCGAAGGTCATGTTTTAAATTTTCACCTGGGTGCTTCATTTTTCTCAAGTTTGATCCCTTCTCTTGAGCTAGATTGTAAGCTCATTCATGACAAAAACAACATCCCCTTTCTTCACATCCCTCAACTTCTAACAAGTGTGTGTTATTCTGCACACAGAGAATGACCCTCCCCCCAGGACTAGGCCATGGTTTCATACTCAGTTTGAATCCCATCACAGTAGAAGGCTTTCCCTGATCATCCCAGAAAAGTGTGACTTCTTAGATTTCTGAAGGACTAACCACCAAACAGAGACTCGTGCCCTCCTATGTCGAGTGTTATCTAGAGCTATGGCATATGTCTTAGTTAATGCTTTGTGCACTTCTATCTTGGAGCCTTAACAGGTTTAGGAGCACTGTTATGGACTGAATTATGTCCAAATCTCAAACAACAACAATAACAAAACCTCTCCCCACCACCCCCATAACTTTGAATGTGACCTATTTGGAAGTAGGACCCTTACAGATGAAATTAGTTGAGACGAGGTCCTGCTGGCGTAGGGTAGGCCTCAAATCAATATGATTAATAGAATAAAAGGGGGGGATTTGGACACAGACATGTACACAGGGTAAGGATCACATGAAGACTGAAGTTATGCTGCCCCAAGCCAAATTGACACACACTACAGAAGCTAGGTATGGAACAGTCTCCCTCACTACCTCAGAAGGGACCATCGGTGCTGCCATCTTGATCTCAGCTTCCAGAACTATGAGACAGTCCATTGCTGTCATTTCAGGCGCCCAGCTTGGGGCACTCTGTAGCTCTAGCAAACTAGAACACGAAATTCAAAGACAGAAACCATATCTTGGGGCTTCATGGAGTATCGTTCCAATTGCGGATCTATTATTGTTTTTTATTTCAC